TTAAAAAAATTATAACTTTATTTGTATTTTATGATAGGAATAATTTTGTGAATAATATATATATATATATATATATATATATATATATATATATATATATATATAATACAGATTAAATATGGATTGGAATCCGACCGGATTATAAGATAAAGAACAAATAGAAAACAATTATAAATCTGAATCTTTATAATCAATATATATATATATATATATAATCAATATATATAATAAATATATATATATATATAATCAAAAAAAATATATATATATATATATATATATATATATATATATATATATATATATATATATATATATATAGATTGTATATTTAAAGATGAATCCTTCTTTTTACATGTTTCATCAATTATAACTGAGCTGGAATATTTGATAACATTTTTTATTCAATTTTGTCTTGTGTTCTTTGAAAAACGGAATAGCTTTCGGCTAATACTTCATCCATTTACAAGTTGGGTTCATTTTCGTGGTAATGAGGATTGTTCTTTCTTTTCTTTTTTTATTGTTTCTTCCTGTATAGTATTTCCAATTTAACCCTTTATTTAATCTAAAGGGGTCCCACGGGAAAATGGCCTAGTGAATTGAAGCGTTAGTTCGTGAATTTGGTGATATAGTAATTGTGTGTAAAATCCTGTGTGAACAATCAGTGTGTGCTTAGACGCAGCAGAAACGGGGCGAGCAATTTACTGAACAGAACTAAAAATAAAACTAGACGAGGACAATCTACCCCAGTAGATTAAATAAAGATATCAGTTCTAAATTCTCTGTTAAGTTTTACAGGTCGACATACACCTGATGAGGGCGGCAGGGAAGAAAAAACGGTTGAAACGTTGTGATACCAACAACAAAAATGCGTGTAATAGTCCAAATGGAAATAGTGTTAATAGTGAAATTAATGTTTAACTGAATAGAGATCGAATATCCTTGGTCAGGAAATATGCTTACAGCTATAGTCCTTCATTTTTTTTTAAAATCTGGTAAACCACGTTTATGCTTTAAGGCTTAATCCGAGGACTTGGCTGAAACTTTAATCCAATTTCTCGGATTAAAAAAAGGAACACTGTTTCTATTCCTGCTGGTAGACATGTTTTTTTTTTGTTTTTTTTTTTTAGTAAGACTGTCGATTTCAAGACCGGTAGACATTAATGCTAATATTTAAAGGTAAAAAGAATTAGGAATATCTCCTCAAACACGTGTACCTACTAAATATACCGTTTATAATAATAATAAATATTATCCGGTTTAACACACACACACACACACACACACACACACATATATATATATATATATATATATATATATATATATATATATATATATGTGTGTGTGTGTGTTATATCTATTATTTATGATTTCAAATGCCCTTTAAGGAACCATGTTCCTGATCAAACCGATTCCATAAATAATTACATTGGTCACACTACAATATGCCTATCCAGACGCCTTACGTTACACCTATCTGACCACAGCTCTATTAGAATCGATTTAAGCACACACAAAAACTTACTAGATTCCATCCGAAACATACTAGTTGAAAATACAAACATAATAGTGATTTTCCAAGCGTAGCTTGGATGTGGCACAAGGCCTAAAGTAAGGGGCACCCAATGAGGATTGAACTCACTCGTAATTGTTTTAGCGAGACAAGCTTGCTAACCATTACACCACCTCGAGGTGCCCAAATACAAACATATTAACCTCATCCACATGTAAAAAAAAGACGAAAAATAATGGAAGCCCTAATAATAAAAAGAAAAAGCCAACACTTAACGATATTAACTACGAACACGGCCACAATATGCTCACTGTGTTCGGAAAACAAAACATCCCTATAAATCTAGAAACATACACACAACACACACACTCAAAAGCAAAAATAAAATCATTCGTGATAATGGCTAAAATTATAGTCGAAAGCGCTCGGAATTACAAAACATTTGGACAGTTTCTACGCACACTGTGTCCAGTAAAGGAAAGCCTCGTTCGAATACAAGAAAAATTAAATAAAATTAAAAAGCCTAATCGTAGTACCTTGTTTGTCGTTTTTAATGAAGCATATATATATATATATATATATATATATATATATATATATATATAATGCCAGACTAAGCTAAACTTGGTATGTATCTTCAATTTACGCTGACGCGATGTGTGCACGTATGTTTATCCAACCTCCTCAAGGCTGAGGTTTCTTGCGAGCAACAGTGAAACGGTAGTAAGTAAAGCAGTTCTTTCCAAATACCAGCCTCGCCTCCTTCGGGGGCACATTTTCCACTGCATCATACTCCCCCCACCCTCATTCCACCTCTCCATCCCGAGGCGCGACCCCCTCCTGCCCATTTCCCAACCTCCACAGGATTTCCCTTCCCAGCCCTCGACCCCTTCTCTAGTCTGTTGTAACCCGATCCTGCTCAAGTCAATAGAGACGCAACATGGTTTGCGGTCGTCTTATATTCTAACCCTGCATTTTTGTTGT